TGTAGCATGAGAGCTTCAACTTCCCACCTGAAGCAAGAGTTGCGAATGTTTAGGACCTGGAGGCTGTCATGCATTGGGTTAGGCCTGTTGGAGAGAGCTGCCATGATCTTACCAATTTTGAACATTTGCATTTAATATACATAGTATGCCAGACTCACAATACCACAAAATTTGTAACACTGCCCATGTCAAAAAAAACAAACAAAACTTTTTTTTTAAAAAACAAAAAAGTTTTTAGCAGTGACATTAAATTATGTTTAGGTCAGTGTTGTTATTGTTAACAAAAAGTACTACAAATCATCTTCATTAATTAAAAAGAAATATAAATAAACAAATAAATGTGCTGGTCTGCCCTGTTGTTTTTTTCCCTGTCTCTCAGGCCTCTCCTCAGCACTTCTGTCATGTCCAGTTGCAGTTCAATCACTAGCATAGGAATAATGCTGCAGGATTCCAGTAATTCAGCCTGATGCTTGATAAGGGAAGCCATCCAACACAAACCTGAGGATCACACATGTATAATGACACCACACACACAGACTCGCAGTCATCGGTCTTTTAGGTTATTTTCCTTGCAGAAGTACATTTCATTGATTGGGATTTAGCTGTGGTCCTCACCCACGTGTGCTGCAGACCAGGCTCATTACTGCCACTTCCAGGCACTGGATGGCCAGTTCATCAGGTACGGTCAGGCCCTGGTTCAACTGCTTCTGCACCTGATTAGCCAACTCAGTTTTGGCCTGGTTGTTGAGCACCATACGTATTGCATCCCCAATTGAGAGACGAGCGAGGCCGTACTCGCGTGCAAAAACCCGGGCCACTGAGTGGACACACACGATTTAGAGGCCATTAGCTACTTTTTCAGCATCTCTAACACTTGCCTTTTAGGTACTATATATTTTTATGAGTGTCAAAGATCCATATAATAACTTGTATTTTATTTCCAGAAATCTCACCTGTGGTTTTGCCTGCTTCGGGTGGGCCAATGATAGCCAGTTTGATGGGAAGGGAAGGGTTGGGCTTTAGTTGACAGAGATATTTGATTGGGTTGAGAATGAAGGTGTTGCGTGTCTCCTTTGATGCAAAAAAGTAGATGAATTGGTGTAGGATGACAGGGAAGGTGGCATTGAAAGGTCCCTGTGAAGGCTGGATCATATTAGTCCAGACACAGTTGTAGTGTACCCCTCTCCTTCAGCACTGTGTCAGTGCATGTATTGCCTCTTCCTCCTCCTCCAGGTCTGCACTGGATATCCTCATAGCTGTGTACTTAAATGGCTCTAAAAGATAAATAAATTTAGAGAGAGAACCAAGAGAAAGTAAGGATATAGTGAGTGAGAGGGAGTGGCTGCTAATTTAGAGTGAATGAAGCAGCCTGAAACAGTCAAGACAGTCCACTCCACATACTCTCCATGTGGTAAATCATCTCTTGGAGGATGTCCTGAGGGGTTTTATTGGAGATGTCCAGTATAGCGTAGCTGCAGGTGATTGTGAGCTCCATGTTTTCCCAATCTGCCAAAAATTGCTTCCGCTGCACACTAAAGGCATCCATCTCTGGACCATCAGGATAACCGTTTTCCCACACCGTTGGCAGCACCACCTCTGCACGCCCAGATATATTTAGATATGCACAAATAAACACCTTCATGAAGCCGTAAAATTATAACTGACACTCAAGTAAAGGTAAATAACAGAGTGCAGAAGGAAAAATAAACAGATATATAATACATAATAAGACTACAAACCTTCATTGGTTAGTTTTGTCTTCTTCATCAGACTTGCCAAAACTCTCTGCAAATACATAAAAATTACCTATCAAAACATACTTTAACTTTTAACATTTCTCTTAAATGAGAAAAAAGCTAAATTTTCAGCAGCCATTACTCCAGTTTTCAGTTCAATGGAACAAAATTGATTTGAAATAAAAGTTTTGTAACATTACATTATTATGGTAGTGTATGTGCAGACCGATGACTTCCAGAAATGTCATCACTGTCAGTTTACATGCAGATTATCTGTTGTTGGGAGATGTTAAAGAGTACTACCTGACTCCTCAAGCAGTGTCTCTAATTTGGACTTGGTGTCAGTAGACTGTGAACCTTTCTTTGAGTCCTCCGTGTGTTTCCTACAAAAAAGCATGAAAACTGCTGAAAATATGCTGAAAACGGAACCTTACCACCATTTAAAAATATGTAAACCACCACTTTCTTACATTTCCATCATGAAATTGTTAACTGTATCTTAAACCTTGTTTTCTCCACAGGTTTTTGAGATGCATTTTAGATGCAACTTGATCCAAAATAATATCTCATTTAAACCTGGCAGTAGTTCTAGAATTTTGATGTTTTTAACATTTTGAATGTTTCTACATATTTTTAATTGCGAAGTTATTAAATTGGAAAAGAATGCAAAATATTAGCATTTTCTCCAGTGATTTCAAATTTGTATACATCACTGTATATTTTCTGAATCTATGCCTTTCTATTAGCCACACTCACAGTCTCTCACTGATGTCTTGTGTATTCTGCAGTTTTCTTTCTTTTTGTAGGCGAGCCAGCACAGCTCTATCCACCTCTTCTTTATTCCGTTCATACATCCATGGTTAGTATCTTCCATCAATAAATAGCATTAAGTGACCATCACAACTAAGTGGACATCATGACCTAAACAACTATAGATTATTATTTGATGTCAAAATGAAGACTAAGAAAAAAATAATTTTATATATGCATGTATACATGAAAATAGATGTGTTTTTCTCACCCTCTCCATCATTGTCTTTCAGACAGAATAGGACTTCTGGTGTTACAGCATGATGCAGTTCCTCAGTGGTGATCAGCTGTGATCTGCTGCTGGGAATGTTATCCAGTATCCATCCACTTTTATGTTCAGCATCCACATCTTCAGCCTCAATCTAACAACCCACAGGCACTCTTAAACACAAATAATGTTACGTAAGTATGAGAGCTAAAGGAGGAAGCTCAGCGGTCTACCTCTCTTATGTGCTTCTCCAGGGCCTCCAAAAAAAGCTACACAACAGAACTGACAGGATGGACAGAAACGAGATTTTGACGAGCTTTTTAATTTACTTTACGGGGGCTACCATAAGCTATCAAATGCGTCCCAGAATTATATGATCCTACTGAATAATATTATTATTATTTTTAAAAAGAAATTTGCCAGATGCGTTTTCATATCTGCTTAAAGATGAACCCATTCAATATGACCACCAGAGGTCAGTGTTGAGCGTTCACATCTGACTGGCAATACGTTTGGGTTGTTAAAAGTACACACGCGCAGGAATTAAACTCTAAACCACATAGGGACACAAAGTAAGAGTTTTTTTCACCATTATTTGAGTGGGATATGTCTCAATATGCCACAAACTATCAAGTAAATACCTCAACCCCAATAAAACACCTACTTATACAGCTCATTATAGGAGCAGTAGAAATTTAATTTAGCTGTTTTAGCTTTTTATGGCAGTTCTCTCTAGTCTAGTCCATAGAAATTAATTAAGCATGCTAAACCCTGGGGACACTTTTCTGAGGCATGCAACAAACTGCTTCCTCATTCCTAACATTAAGACTGTGTGCAAGAAGTGGGCGTTGTCTGACGAATATTATCTTTTTTTTTTGTTTAGTTTTTGTTTTTTTTAACAAAACATATTTTGCCACATATTTAGGTTACTATATATAGGCTATGATTTAAAGCGTATTTAGGTTACATGCATGACAAAAAGTTACATTTCTGTCCCTCAGAATAGTGTCTTCAATCTGTGCAATTTTTTTTCTTTATCAGTATAGGCTATAATCAAAAGCTGTTGGGTGTTAAGAGAGGTCATGTGTCTAGTCTATGATCTGCAGTCAGACTGTCTCATAAATTACAATCCGTGTCAGCTGTTTCCATTGACACAACACCACTTAATGTCTGTGTCCAGTCCTCATATAGAGAGCGTCAAGTAGTAATAAGTTAAGGAAATATTTGTCAACAAATGGGGGCCCTACATGGGTTTTATTATTGGCGTCATACACAGAGTAAAAATGGCCATTTTGAAGAGCTTTAGAAAAATGTATGGCATATACAGGTGCATCTTCATTTATACAGGTGCATCTTCAAAGTTAATTTATTTCAGTAATTCAACTCAAATTGTGAAACTCGTGTATTAAATCAGGAGTGGCTTAACAAGAGAAATACGACAACTGTAGCAGGAGTGGCTTAACAAGAGAAATACGACAACTGTAGCCAAATTCCTTGACACGGCTGTGTGTGGTGGCTCTTGATGCCTTGACCCCAGCCTCAGTCCATTCCTTGTGAAGTTCACTCAAATTCTTGAATCGATTTTGCTTGACAATCCTCATAAAGCTGCGGTTCTCTCGGTTGGTTGTGCATCTTTTCTTCCACACTTTTTCCTTC